GTCTTTGCGACGAGGTCCTTCTCGGTGGGAAAGAAAAGGAGGTTGCCGCTTTGAATGTGGACCTCGCGAGGCTGGAGGAGGCGAAGGTGGGACTGGAGAAGAAGCTTGAGGAGACTGAGCGGGCTGTTGTGTTTGAGCACAAGAGGGGATTCCTTAAGGCAGCTCGCCAGGTGAGGTTTCTCGCGCCGGGGGTCGATCTCTCTGCCATGCATGTGGAGAAAGAAGTTCGCTTCGGGAAGCTGGTGAAGGAGGACGACCTTGCGGACAGCTCCAGTGACAACGCCTCTGTCTAGGCCATTTTTTGTAATAGCTTAGCTCATTTGGTCCTTTTTCCCCCTTAGATTCATGTCATAAACTGGTAGACCTTGTTGTGTATATATATATATTTTTTGGTTGTTCATCTTTGCGCTTCTGATGAGTTTGTTTGGTCCTCCGATCTCGTGTTTATGCTTTAGGCTTAGTTTTTTCCTATTTGCGCGATTTTAAAAACACGTTCATAATTTGCTGTGTATTTTTTTACTTTGCGGCGCTTGGACCCGATTTAGAGCAAAGTGATTTGTTCCAAGGTTAAAATACGACCTTGGGTGAAAGCGAGATATTTCGCAGTGAGGTTCGAACTCGACCTCGAATGGATCATACCGAGGTTGAAACTCGACCTTGAGTTGATTATACCGAGGTTCGAACTCGACCTTGAGTTGATAATACCAAGGTTCAAACTCGACCTTGAGTTGGTTATACCGAGGTTCGAACTCGACCTTGAGTTGATAATACCAAGGTTCAAACTCGACCTTGAGTTGATAATACCGAGGTTCGAACTCGACCTTGAGTTGATAATACCAAGGTTCAAACTCGACCTTGAGTTGATAATACCAAGGTTCAAACTCGACCTTGAGTTGATAATACCAAGGTTCGAACTCGACCTTGAGTTGATAATACCAAGGTTCGAACTCGACCTTGAGTTGATTGTACCGAGGTTCGAACTCGACCTTGAATTGTGTGTGATATGAATAATATCAAGGTTCAGACTCGACCTTGGATTTAAGCGAAACGTATTCAAGGTTCGTACTCGACCTTGATTAAGAGCGAGATAAGTCAGACCAAGGTTCGAATTCGACCTCGGCGTAAAGTAAAATAAGTTGTGCCAAGGTTCAAACTCGACCTCGGCTTAGCATAAGATATTTTATGGTAAAACAATGCTAAATTAAGAAGATATGAATGGAGAGGAATGAGTTATTTTATTGATTGTACATATGTGCCTCGTTAAAAACCCTCTCAACCAAAATCCATTTTTCTGTTTTTTGGGATAAAAAGCTGAGGCGGGAAAAGAGTGCACAACTCACTCATACAAAAGTTAACTGAAGTAAAACTTGAGATGCGTAGCATTCCAAGTTCGTAGTATGGGTTTTTCGCCGAGTTCTTCTAGTCGGTATGCTCTGTTCTCCAAGTCTTCTGCAACTCGGAATGGGCCACCCCAGGTGGGCGCAAGCTTTCTGTCTGATGTGTCTTTTCGTGCTTCACCTAATAGTTGCCATACTAGGTTTCCTACTCGGAAAGAGCGAGGTCGCACTCGCGTGTTATATCTTCTGGAAGCTCGGATTTTACAAGCTTTTTCATGAATCCGAGCTTCATCTCTGAGCTCGTCAATCAGGTCGAGGTCGGTTGCCATCTCTTGGGCGTTCTGCTCGCTGTTGAAGACCTGGCGTCGGTGAGATGTCTCTCCGATTTCCATTAGGATCATTGCGTCACATCTCTTGGGCGTTCTGCTCGCTGTTGAAGACCTGGCGTCGGTGAGATGTCTCTCCGATTTCCATTAGGATCATTGCGTCAGCTCCATAAGTCAGCCTGTAAGGCGTTTCTTGCGTTGTTGACTATTACACAAAGTCACAAGATGACAATAGTACCATGCAGAATAATGGGATTACTCTTCAGGCTCAATCCATGCATTTTTCTAGTAGAAATGATAAAATCCCGTTGTGGCATCCACAAGTTACTATGGAGTCATTGAAGACATTTAGGAGATCAGTTATGGTGCCTTTAAATTTCCTGCTTTTAAGTGCAAATGGGTTGATATTAACATTGGTGTGCGAACCGATGAAATGGGATTTACAATGTTAGACCTTAGCAAGGTGGGTCATAAGGATGAACCTTTCATCATGGCAAACCAAGCAACACAAGTATTTTATGTCAAAGATCCTACTAATGAAAGGTGGTCTATGGTTCTACAAGGTAGAAGTGTACACAATGTTGATGATTCAACAATTGAATTTTGGGAGAGTCTTTCTTTCTCAACATGTATGCCTACTAACAACGAAGAAATTGAGCAAGACGACGTTCATGCCACTCGTAATGACCATGATGAAGGCATATGGGAAAACATTACTATTTAATTACCGCATTAAGTTATGTTTATCTTGATGTATAATTTAATATTCTATTCATTCATTTTTTCATGTTTTTAATTCATTTTATTACTTCTTTTCCAATTGACCTTGGTTATTTTTTTTGTCAAAACAGACACATGGATACTCAACCGAGCTCTACTCCTCAAAGATCCCCTGCTCCTCAAGGCTCCCCTACTCCTCAAGGCTCCCCTGCTCCTACAGTCCCTACTTCACAGGCTACATCTAAGAAAAAGAGGAAGTCGACACGAATGAAAAGTTTAGCCCGTAAGCGCATGAAAGGGCCCAAAATATCACTTGATGTGGATCCCACTACTAGGATAGTTTCAGGGCCAAACAAAGCTCAATTTTCAAGTTATTTGGGAACCCTTGCTAGAGACAAGATTAATATTTTAGTCCCTTCTTGGAAAGAAGTCCCACAAACTACTAAAAACATGATTTGACAGGATATTTTAGTATTTCCACTATATTTACATAATTTGACAAAATGATAATCATTTTTAATGTTATTATTATTAACTCTTAAATCTGAAATTGTTTTGTAGGGAGTGTATGACATCAGCGATACTACTATATTGAAGAGTAAAATGTTTTCATCTGTTGCTCCAAAATTTAGGCAACATAAGTCTTATCTTATTGGGTACATGGGAAATACAAGGGTAAAAGCCCTTGTGATGAGTATAATATTGATCCTAAAGAATGGGAAAAATTTAAAGAAATTCGAAATGACCCTTCTTGGAAGGTAAGTAGTGTTTACTATTTTTAAAATTTATATTATATTTTTCACTGTTACTTATGGGGTTATTAAATTATTGCAGCTTGTAAGAAAAAAAAAAGCACAAGATATCCAGAAACTTAATAATGTTCCCCACCTATTATCTCGTGGGAGTTATGAGCTGCTTGTGAGAAATTTTATGAAAAGTGAAATTAAGAGACTTAAGGAGGAAGCAATACAATCTGGTGCTAGTGAGGATGTTGTGATTGATCTTCCACCTCCTCCTCCACGCCATAGGTTGTGGAGCATGGCTCGCACAAAAAGTTCAGGTGAGATGACGTCTGAGTCTGCTAAACAAGTTGTAGAAAAAATTGTAAGTATTTTTTTTAATAAAAAAATCTCATTACCTATCTTAAGATTTATTGTAGAATTTTTTATTGTAGGATATATTATGAACAAAGTTTATTTATTGTAGAATGTGTTGGAGGAGCAAACATCACAAGGTTCTTTTATTCCCGAAGGTCGTCAAGATATATTGAATACTGCCCTTGGGTGACCAGAGCACCCTGGTCGTGTTCGTATAGCTGGGGATGGTGCTACAATTAGTAATTACTTTGGACCATTGTCAAAAGGCTCATCCTTATCTAAATTGAGCCCCCAGGATTTTGAAGCCCTCACACAACAAATATATGTACGGGTCACACAAAGTTTAATGTCAAAGTACTAAAATATGAGTGCTCAACAATCACAGGATGTTCCTCCAATTGAGGTAGATCATGCTATCGTGCCTCGTGTTAGCACTAAATGTAGTTGTTCAACTCCTTCAAGTGCTACTGTTGTTGGTAATCCCTTTAGGGGTGAGCCTCATGCTGATATCTCCAATCAATGTGAGTTATGCATGGAGGAACATCCTAACTGTTGAGCACTCATATTTGGGTACTTTGACATTAAACTTTGTGTGACCCGTACATATATTTGTTGTGTGAGGGCTTCAAAATCCTGGGGGCTCAATTTAGATAAGGATGAGCCTTTTCACAATGGTCCAAAGTAATTACTAATAGTAGCACCATCCCCAGTTGTATGAACACGACTAGGGTGCTCTGGTCGCCCAAGGACAGTATTTAATATATCTTGACGACCTTCGGGAATAAAAGAACCTTGTGATGTTTGTTCCTCCAACACATTCTACAATAAATAAACTTTGTTTATAATATATCTTACAATAAAAAATTCTACAACAAATCTTAAGATAGGTAATGAAATTTTTTTATTAAAAAAAATACTTACAATTTTTTCTGCAACTTGTTTAGCAGACTCAGACGTCATCTCACCCGAAATTTTTGTGCGAGCCATGCTCCACAACCTATGGCGTGGAGGAGGAGGTGGAGGATTAATCACTACATCCTTACTAGCACTGGATTGTATTGCTTCCTCCTTAAGTCTCTTAATTTCACTTTTCATAAAATTTCTCACAAGTAGCTCATAACCCCACGAGATAATAGGTGGGGAGCATTATTAAGTTTCTGGATATCTTGTGCTTTTTTTCTTACAAGCTACAATAATTTAATAACCCCATAAGTAAAAGTGAAAAATAAATAAAAATATAATATAAATTTTAAAAACAGTAAACACTACTTACCTTCCAAGAATGGTCATTTCGAATTTCTTTAAATTTTTCTTATTCTTCATGATCAATATTATACTCATCACAAGGGCTTTTACCCTTGTATTTTCCATGTACCCACTCCCTTGTAAGATAAGACTTATGTTGCCTAAATTTTGTAGCAACAGATGAAAGCATTTTACTCTTCAATATATTAGTATCACTGATGTCATACATTCCCTACAAAATAATTTCAGATTTAAGAGTTAATAATAATAACATAAAAAATGATTATCATTTTTGTCAAATTATTTAAATATAGTGAAAATACTAAAATATCCTGTCAAATCAAGTTTTTAGTAGTTTGTGGGACTTCTTTCCAAGAAGGGACTAAAATATTAATCTTGTCTCTAGCAAGGGTTCCCAAATAACTTGAAAATTGAGCTTTGTTTGGCCCTGAAACTATCCTAGTAGTGGGATCCACATCAAGTGATATTTTGGGCCCTTTCATGCGCTTATGGGCTAAACTTTTCATTCGTTTCGGCTTCCTCTTTTTCTTAGATGTAGCCTGTGAAGTAGGGACTGTAAGAGCAGGGGAGCCTTGAGGAGTAGGGGATCCTTGAGGAGTAGAGCTCGGTTGAGTATCCATGTGTCTGTTTTGACAAAAAAAAATAACCAAGGTCAATTGGAAAAGAAGTAATAAAATGAATTAAAAACATAAAAAAATGAATGAATAGAATATTAAATTATATATCAAGATAAACATAACTTAATGCGGTTATTAAATAGTAATGTTTTCTCATATGCCTTCATCATGGTCATTACGAGTGGCATGAACGTCGTCTTGCTCGATTTCTTTGTTGTTAGTAGGCATACGTGTTGAGAAAGAAAGACTCTCCCAAAATTGAGCTGTTGAATCATCAAAATTGTGTACACTTCTATCTTGTAGAACCACAGACCACCTTTCATCAATAGGATCTTTGACATAAAATACTTGTGTTGCTTGATTTGCCATGATGAAAGGTTCATCCTTATGACCCACCTTGCTAAGGTCTACCATTGTAAATCTCATTTCATCGGTTCGCACACCAATGTTAATATCAACCCATTTGCACTTAAAAACAAGAACTTTAAAGGCACCATAACTGATCTCCCAAATGTCTTCAATGACTCCATAGTAACTTGTGGATGTCACAACGAGATTTTTATCATTTCTACTAGAAAAATGCATGGATTGAGCCTGAAGAGTAACCCCACTATTCTGCATGGTACTATTGTCATCTTGTGACTTTGTGTAAAAGGAAAAGTTATTGATATCATATCCAGTATAAGTAAAAACATTATATTTAGGTTCATTTGTAAGACATTTTAATGTGTTAGAAAAACTATCATCACTAAAGACTTTTTCTTTGAACCATTTTAAGAATGTCTTGTTATGCTCATTGACCAATGATTTTTCGTTCATTCTAGGGTTATTTTTCTTCAAAAAGTCTTGATTCTCAGATATGTAAACAAGAACCGCCTCAGTGTTGTTCAATATATACAGATGTGCTTGAAGTAATTCCTTTCGAAGAATGAATTTAACTTTTTGGCCTTTTGTACCCTTACCTTCATATCTATCCTCATGACGAGACTTAGGAATCCCTACAAGTTTTGCTTTGGACATGTAATCTAAACAAAATTCAACAGCTTCTACTGCAATGTACCTTTCAACAATAGATGCTTCTGGACGGTGTGGATTCTTGTTATATCCTTTTAAAATCTTCATGTAACGCTCAACTAGGTACATCCATCGTAAATAAACAAGGCCGCATAGTTTAATCTCCCTAACTAGATGAACAATCAAGTGAATCATGATGTCAAAAAAATCCAGAGGAAAATACATCTCCAATTGGCATAGGATAATAACAGACTCATTTTCCAACTCATCCAACTTCTTAGGGTCAATGACTTTAGCACATATAACATTAAAAAAGAAGCACAAACGAGTTAACACACTACTGACATTATTAGGCAAAATGCCACGTATAGCCATAGGTAAGAGTTGTTGCATCAAGACGTGACAATCATGAGACTTTAAGCCAACCAATTTAAGATCATTCCATGATACAAAGCTTTTAACATTTGAAGAGTATCCCTGTGGAACTTTCACACCTCGTAGACATTGACAAAAGTTTGTTTTCTCTTTTCTTGACAAAGTATGACATGATGGAGGCAAATATGTACGCATACCTTCTGACCTTGGATGTAATTGTGAACGTATACCAATCTCTAACAAATCTTAACGAGCATTAAATCTGTCTTTTGTCTTGCCTTTAATGTTTAAAAGTGTGTCTATTACTCTATCACATACATTTTTCTCCACATGCATAACATCTATGCAGTGTCTAACACCTAGATGGAACCAATATGGAAGATCAAAAAATATTGACCTCTTCTTCCACAAGTTTTTCTCAGTTGACTTCTTTTGGATCTTACCAAAGATAATATTTATGTCCTTGACCTGATCATAAACTTGCTCACCAGTTAAGGGTATCGGTGCAATTTCATGTTCTTAACATCCATTAAAAGCTTTTTTCAGTCTCCGATATGGGTGATTAGGTTTGAGAAATTTTTGATACCTAGTGTAAACAGTTTTCTCTCCATGCTTTAGTTGTAGGTAGCTTGTCTGTTGTTGACAGATAGGGCATGCGTGATGTCCTTCAACATTATATCCACTCAAGTTCCCATATACTGGAAAATCATTAATAGTACAAAATATCATTGCACGCAACTTGAAACTTTGTTGACGATACCCATCAAACACATCAACCCCTTCTTCCCACAAAATTATCAAGTCCTTAATCAAGGGACTTAAGTAAACATCTATGTCATTTCCTGGTTGTCTTGGGCCTGCAATCATCATACACAATATCACATATTTTTTGTTCATGCACAACCAAGGAGGCAAATTGTAAATTGAAAAGAGAACAAGCCATGAACTATGGTTGGTGCTTAAGTTACCAAACGGATTCATTCCATCTGAAGCAAGTCCGAGCCTAAGGTTTCTTGCCTCACTACCAAAATCTGGAAATAACCCATCAATTTTTTTGCATTGTGGAGAATTAGCCGGATACCGAAGCATGCCATCACAATTTCTATTGTCTGCATGCCATGTAAGGTTCATTGCATCAGTTGCATTAGCAAACAATCGCTTAAACCTTGGAATGATTGGAAGATACCATAACACCTTTGTTGGGCCCCCTTTTCATATACATCTTCATCACTACTACCACCACCATCCTTCACTTTGTACCGTGATAACCCACAACGAGGACATTTGTGCAATGTTTCAAACACTTTTATATACAATATGCAATCATTAGGGCATGCATGTATTTTCTTATACTGTAGACCCATCAGACACAACCTTTTTCGCCTCATAATGACGGTCTGGCAACGTGTTATCTTTTGGAAGCATTAACTTCAACAACTCAAGCAATTCTGTAAAACTTTTATCACTCCACCCATATTTTGCCTTCAAATTCATCAATCTTAAGATTGCTGATAATCGTGTGAAGGTTGTACAATCAGGAAACAAGGGTGTCTCTAAGTCATTTTTTAAAGTATCATACACATGTGAATGTGCTTGTTGGAAAGACTCTTGTCCTACATCACGAATCATGTCCTCTATTTGATCTTCCATTTCTACATCACCTTCCTCAGTATGAGACACTGTTCGAGTTTCTTTATCTTCACCATGTCATATCCATGTTGTATAGCTCGTTAAAAACCCATCACAAATAAGGTGGTCCCGTATTTCATCAATTGCATGTCGTCTCCCATTTAAACAATTAACACAAGGACAATAAAATTTTCCATTTAAATCTGTTCCATTTCGTTGAGCAAATTCCAAAAACTGTTCAACCCCATTTTGATACTCATCACTGATTCTTCTTGCATTCATCCAACTATGGTCCATTTTCCTTCTTCTGTGGCAGAAATTTATTTACACAATTGAATTTTTATGGTGCCTCTATATAGTACAATAGCAAATCATATACTAAATCAATGTTATTTCAAGCTACTATTTCATTTATCTAAGTAGGTAGAAGATCCAAATATAAGTCATCTTATTTCACCAACTACATAAATTTAATTCATCTCATTTCTTCAACTAGATAAATAAATTAGATATATATAATTGAGTTAAGGTACCTTACTAAGAAGATATGACAAACTAGATGTGTTGACTAATGGATGTCAAGAAGAGAAGTATCACCCTCTACACACTTCCTGCCAAATAAAAATCAAGTTTAAGAATATTAAAATTTAACTTATAAATAATTATAATAAATAAAAATTAAATTAAATATAAAGTTTAAAAAGGTTTTAAAAATTCTCTCACATAAAATAGCAGTTTGAGTGTTACATATGAGTTATTGTAAATTAACCATACAAAATATGGGTTAAACTCTTTATTTTTTTCTTTTTATTATTCAATTTTTCATATAGTCAACAATTAACAAGGCCACAAAAAACCCAAACCAAAATAAATATGGTAAATTTATATAAAAATATAGCTGGCAATTTTGTTAGAAATAATTGATCAAAGCATTTTTCTTCCAACAGTACAGAAATAGAAGATTTATATCACTTCAGAGATCGAGACAGTGAGACCAACCTTCCTGCTAGGCGTTAGACTTCCTTCACTATTTGGGGACTCTGCATCTGGATGATGGCTTTGCATTTCTCTGGGTTGGCCTCAATCCCCCTGTTGGTAATCATAAAACCAAGGAATTTACCTCCCTAGACGCCGAAGACGCACTTCTCTGGGTTGAGATGCATGTTGTGTCTCCAGATCTAGCTGAACACCTCGACAAGGTCGGTACATGACCCTCGGCCGTGGTGGTTTTGACCATCATGTCGTCGACGTAGACTTCCATGTTCCTCTCTATCTGCTGGTGGAAAACCTTGTCCATCAGTCGCTGGTAAGTAGTGATAGACCATGGGCCAAAGGCCCAGTCGCTAGAGTTATGGCTAGAAGAATTCAAGAAGAGTTGGACCTCTTGAAGACTAGTGGGCTTTGCGAGCCTAAGGTATTCTTCATGTGGACTACTCTATCATAAAGAGAAGGCCTAGTTCTACTTGTGAATATTGTATAGTTTGTACATAGTCTCTTGTATAGGTTATTTTTGTCTTTGTATTTGTGAGGCACTTTACTTGCCTTTTCTAGTGTTTGTATATTGATTTTAAGGTGGGCTACTTGGAGAGTTTAACTCCATTTAACCTCCCTAGTTGATACATTCATTTTGTATTTTTTCAGTAGGGAAAAAGGGGTGGCATTTAGCAATGCTTGAGGGTGTGTTTAGAAATTGGGCCTGAGTTGGGCCTAGGCAAAATTTTGCATATTGGACTCATTTTTCTCCTAATTTTTCATAGATTTGATTTAGCTAGGTCTCATGCTTCACCTAATAGTTGCCATACTAGGTTTCCTACTCGGAAAGAGCGAGGTCGCACTCGCGTGTTATATCTTCTGGAAGCTCGGATTTTACAAGCTTTTTCATGAATCCGAGCTTCATCTCTGAGCTCGTCAATCAGGTCGAGGTCGGTTGCCATCTCTTGGGCGTTCTGCTCGCTGTTGAAGACCTGGCGTCGGTGAGATGTCTCTCCGATTTCCATTAGGATCATTGCGTCAGCTCCATAAGTCAGCCTGTAAGGCGTTTCTTGCGTTGTTGACTAGGGGGTGCAATGGTATGCCCAAAAGATGCTAGGGAGTTCGTCGGCCCATTGCCCTTTAGCGTTCCCTATCCGCTTCTTAAGTTCTCAGAGGATGACCTTGTTGGCAGCTTCAGTCTGGCCATTAGTCTGGGGGTGTTCCACCGAGGTTGGAAGGTGTTTGATACCGAGCTCTCGAAGGAAGTCTTCAAAGCTTTGTGCGATGAACTGCTGGCCGTTATTGGTGACGAGGGAATAAGGGATGCCGAACCTGCATATGATGCTTTTCCAAGTGAATTTTTGGACATTGTCGGTGGTGATCTTGGCGAGCGGGCATGCCTCGATCCACTTGGTAAAATAATCAATCGCCACCAGGAGAAATTTGAGTTGACCTTTCGCGGGGGGAAACGGTCCCAAGATATCCATTCCCCACTGGGCGAAAGGCCACGGAGACATCATCTGGTGGAGAGCTTCGGGCGGCTGTCGATGTGCATTGCTGAACTGTTGGCACTCTTTACATTTTTGCACGTAGGCCTGACAATCCGACTTCAAGGTGGGCCAGTAGTATCCAGCTCGGAGTACCCTGGTTGCCATCGAGCGCGCTCCGGAATGCATGCCACATATGCCTCGGTGGATCTCTTCGATGACGTAAGCGGCTTGAGGCGTGGTCAAGCATTTAAGAAAAGGGGTGGAGATGTCGCCCTTGAACAGTTCGTCGCCAACAATTACGAACTTAGCCGATCTCAATCTCATTTTTCGAGCTTCATTCTTATCCTCGGGCAGAACTCCTACTTTCAGGTAGTTCCAGATGCCTGTCATCCACCCTTGTTCTTCGCTGTCGGTGGTGTTGACGACCTTGTCGTCCAGGCTGGGCGAGTGCAAGGTTTCTTGGATAATAGTACGATGCTGTCCAGGGCGTTTGGTACTGGCGAGCTTTGACAGGAGGTCGACTCTAGTATTTTTCTCTTGCAATACATGCTGGATAGTGAACTCGTCGAAGGACGAGGTCTGGTGTGATGCGATGTGAAAGTACCGCTGTAGAAGAATGTCTTTAGCCTGGTACGTCCCGCTGAGCTGTTCCACCATGAGTTTTGAGTCGCTGTTGCAACTCACTCTTCGCGCCCCGAGGTCGCGAGCTAGCCTCAGTCTTGCGAGAAGCGCCTCATATTCCGCCTGGTTGTTGTTCACCTTAAAGTTGAACTTGAGGGATTGCTCCAAAGTGACTTGATTTGGTCCTTCCAAGATGATACCTGCACCACCACCTTTAGAGTTAGAAGACCCATCAACATGCAAGGTCCATACCTTTGGTTCATTGGTCGAGGTCGGGGTCAGTTTGACTACTAAGTCAGCCAAGCATTAAGCTTTCAGAGCTCCGCGACTCTCATACCGGATGCCGAATTTGGACAACTCGACTAACCATGCTATCATCTGCCCGGTGAGCTCTGGGTTCCTCGGGATTTGCTTGATTGGATAGTCGGTCTTGACTATCACCTGGTGGCTCTAAAAATAAGGTCAGAGACGCCGAGCTGCGGTGATTAGTGCTAGCGCTAGCTTCTCGATCGTCTGGTACCGTTTCTCGGTGTCCTGGAAACTCGATTGATGAAGTAGACTGGTGTCTGCATTTTTTGGTCCTCTTGCACGATGACCGCGCTGATCGCTCCTTCCGCTATCGCCAGATAGAGGAGGAGGTCAGTTTGGTGATCCGACCTTTGTAGGATTGGCGGGGTCGTGAGAAAGGCTTTGAAGCTCTTGAAAGCCTCTTCGCACCGATCTGTCCACTCGAAGTTTTTTGGCTTTCGTAGGAGAGTGAAGATGGGCCATGCTTTCTCCGTGAGCCTGGGGATGAAGCGAGACAGTGAGACCAACCTTCCTGCTAGGCGTTAGACTTCCTTCACTATTTGGGGACTCTGCATCTGGATGATGGCTTTGCATTTCTCTGGGTTGGCCTCAATCCCCCTGTTGGTAATCATAAAACCAAGGAATTTACCTCCCTAGACGCCGAAGACGCACTTTATTCAGGGGCAAGGGATTCAGGGGCAAGGGCTCATGGGCGCGCGAGGTAAGCAAATCAAAGAAAAAGGTTTCAGATGATGCTTACAGAGGGTTATTCAGGAGCAACAGATTCAGGGGAAAGGGCGGGGCAACGGCGGGGCAAGGCCTCATCAAATTTCTAACACTATGAGCACAAGGAACAATTCCCTCAATCAATCTAAACAGAAAGGGCAAATGTTAGAGACCCTTTGTTATAGATTTCTAACACCTCTCACAATCATAGAAAAACATACTCAGAGAGTTCTACTTTCTATGCTTCATGCTTTACCTGCAACTGCAAGAGTCAAAAACAAAACAAATAGACCTTTAATTTAACCGGAGATGGGGGAGAAGCAACTCTCCGATCGAATCAAGTGTGGGGCAAGGGCGGGGCAAGGGCTCATGCGCGCGCGCGGAGAAAGCAAAGGCTTCTCAATATTCACGAGCAAGGGCTTCAGGAGACTCATGCGTGCGGGGTTAGCAAAGACTTCTCGATATTACATCGGTTACTATGTAAACCGATGTAGATATCTTTATGTGCGACGCTTATTCACAAAAATGTCACCGTGCTTTTAATACTATATCGGTTCTTCTGAAACCTGATCTAGAATATTTCATATTTACATCGGTCCTACTCAAAACCGATATAAATATGCTTTATATTTTACACTTAATTATAATAATGCTACCGTGTCTTATTTTTACATCATTTTTTTGTTAACCGATGTAGAAATGGTGATGTAGATCAGTATTTTTGTAGTAGTGTGTCCCTCAAAACACAATTGTGTTAGTTAATGCTTGGGTTATTCATAGAGATCCAATGTTGTGGAGTGATCCAACACATTTTAAGCCCGAGAGGTTTGAGAAGGAAAGTGAAGCAAGGAAGTTACTTTCATTTGGATTAGGGAGGAGGGCTTGTCCTGGGGCAAACATGGCCCAACGTACAGTGAGCTTAACTCTGGCCTTGTTAATTCAATGTTTTGAGTGGAAACGAACTAGCAAGGAAGAAATTGATATGACTGAAGGAAAAGGGATCACTATGCCAAAAAAGTTTCCCTTAGAAGCTATGTGCCAAGTGTGTCAATCACCAACAATTAAGGGTATTTTCTAATTTCTAATGCTATTAAAAACACACCAAATTCTATCAAAAGTCATTAGTACAAGTAGTTCAACAGTTGTACTCTTTAGTCAAGGATCAAGGTTCGAGTTTCAATTTGAGCAAAGTCGAGACTGGAGATATCACTTGAATCTTATAGACCCAACTTGGTGGAAGGAAACAAAATGAAGTTATAGAAGTATGTAGGTTAATCATACTATAAGTAATAGTACTTGTGTTAACAAATGGCTTAAACCTTTTTTTTTTCCTAAAAACATTTTGATTTTTAGTTATCTATATTCTTGTTAATTAGGATGAAATATGTACTAATGCATAAGTTGTTTTCATTTTTCCAAAATTTTCATTCATTTTAAAGTATTAAAGCCACGATGCGTTGATTTTATGATGAAATGAATTATCCAATGTGTTGAACCAAAGATGTTTTGCAATTTC